ACAATTTTTTTTAAATAAATAACAATTATAAACTTTCTATAATTCAAATCTAAACAAATTTCACTTTCAAATTTCACTCCTAACATGAGTGTTTAATTAATTTTGAAAATAAGAAACTTAAATAATTTTTTAAGAAAAAACAAAATAATAACTATTTTTTTATAAAATTAAAATTAAATTTTAATAAAATAAAATTAGGTAGGTGGGTTGGTAGGTCAACCCGGTCCACCATAGATTCAACCAGCATGAGTCGGGTTTAAATGAGTCAAGTTAAAATTTGACCCGCATAAAAAAAATATAATTTTTTCAAATCCAATCCAAGTTAAATCCATAATAAACCAGATTGACCCACGGATTATGACTCATTTTGATAGCTCAAATGTACCATCCCAGATTATATAGAAGCATATAACATAGTAAGTCCACGTTTAAATAAAAAAGAACAGTTAGAGTAGACGATAAACAAAGTAGTTAAGCTTACAGTCATCCCAGAGACATAATTTTAAAACTTAAACGCAAGTAGAGTGTTTCAAAAGGATAGAAATCACCGGAAAAATCCTTAACAACTAAATAGTGTTTCAAAATACAAGAAGTACTACAAGAATCCTAAAGAGACTAAGTCACCACATCGCCTTTCTCTAAAACCTGTTCCAAAGATACCTCATCTATCTCTTTTATCTCATATTATCTGATAAAAAATACTCCAAACTTTTATAATCACCTGAGCGTCATACCGCTATTATTAACAGTGATTAAATCTGGAGGACAAAGGACCATGTTCGATTAAAGCATTCAGTTAAGGCATATAATAACTGTTATATGCCTGTTTACTGACATGCCAAGTAAAAACACATGCCTTTTTGGTTGGGAAAATAAATAATTAATTGTTTTCTTAATTTTGAACTTATTAAAAAATAAATAATAATAATACTTTTGGAAAACTAAATAAAAAACTTAGGAAATTATGAAAATTGATATTAAATCTAATCATACTCTTGTTAGCAATCTTTTATAAATAATCAACAATCTTCATCGCGTGAAACAGAATATGTAAAAAAACAGAAATAACATGGTGAAAAAGATTGAATTTAAAAAAAAAAAAAGTCTATATATCAGAATTATAATTTATAAAGGTATGTGGAGTGCGTCACAGCTATGCTGTGATGAAAAGCAAGAAAAGAAAAAGAGAGCAATAATGAGTATTAGTGTTGACGAAGACGAAGTGAGTGAAAGAGTAAGATTATCCTCTGCGTTCCCTTCTTCATCTCCATATTCATTCTTCTCTCTCAAAGGTATGTAACTATCATCGCTTTAATTTCCAACAACTTTAGGGTTTCCTGTTCTTATCAATTTCTGCCATTCTTTTGTTGCAGTGCACAACTTCTTTCTCACCAACTCTTCTATCTTCTGTTCCATCTCTTGCTGGAATCTTCTAGAGTTATCAACGACAGTATTTGAAAGAAGAGGAGGTCAGCTTACCAATTTCTGCTTATTTTCTATTTCCAATTCTTTTCGATCACATATTCTCTGTTGTTCACAATCCTTTCTCCTTTTTTGAAACAAATATTTATATTGAAATCAAATATTTTTTATGGATTATAAATATATTTAAACCTAACTAAATTTAGTATAAATGGGGTGTTCAAATTAAAATATAAACATCAGTAATTTCATTTTCAATTTATTTTTCCGGTAAAGAAAAATGAAGACAATGTTTTTCTTAAAACACTTTTTTTAAATATTTTCTGAAATTATTTATCATTAATTAAAATGTATCAGAAATAAGAAACAAATATGTACTGTCTTATTTCTTATTTAATATTTTCTATTCGTGATTTTATAATTTGTATAAAACTTAGTTATAACAGAGAATATATCAGAAATAATAAGAAAATTAAAATTCCTCTATAGGAAAAATAAAAGAAACTTGACTTGGTCCAGTGTCATGTTTCCAATTATTATTCTTTTAAAATCTATACTTTAGAATAAAAGTTGTATATTATATTATAAAATTTATTCAAGGACTATGATCTTATAAAAGAGAAATCATTAGTATTAGACAGAACGTTGGTGTCCTTTTTATTTTAACTGTGTCGGGTATAAATTTATTTAGTTAATAAACAATAGATAATAATATTTTCTTTTGAAGCATATACAAAATAAGAATGCATTTCGAAGTGGATGTTCTACGGTAAAAAATCAGGTGTTAATCAAATCTATTATTACCCTTAATAACTAAAAGGGATTCTGTCACAATTATGAAGTGAATTCTTAGTATGAGAGGAAATACTCAATTCAATTAGTAAATAAATTTTAATTCTAACTCAATCTTAGAAATTTTAATTCTAATTTAATCTTAGAAAATTAACAGTAAAGTTTATACTATTTATATATTTTAATTAAACGAACATAAAACAGAAAAAGTTAACAATCGAAATTAAATTTTTAATAAATTTTAAATCTAATTTTAGAAAAGATAAATATTATCTAAAATTATATAAAATTGATAAATAAAAAGATAATAATGTGAATTAAAATAAATATTAAATAAAGTTATTATACAAAAAATATAGTTAGCCTAATTTTGTATATTTATACCTATATAGAAAAAGATACTTCTTGTACACAATTTTATTTCCACTTTACTCTTTTATAATATAATTATTAATTGATTTTTAAAAAAATATTTATTTATTTTTCATTACAAAGTCTTGCTTATTAGGAATATAAGCATAATACTTTTGAGACTCAAGAGACTTGTAATATTTAAAAAAAAAATAGAAGGTACCGGTCGTGTAGAATTGAAAAAGAAGATAGATTATTAGTGTAATTGGAGAAAACTTCACGGAGTATTAGTATAAGTTATTTTTAAAAAAAATTAATAACTTTGAATAATAACATAATACAAAAACAACATAATACAATATGAAACAATATAATATAATAAAACTCAACGTAATAAAGTATTGTAAGTACAGTATAGTAAATTTATATTATATATAAAGAAATGTATAAGTTAGTATTCGTCTGAATAAATTTTAAAAATATAGTATCAATAAAGAAATGTATAAGTTATTATTTTGAATCTGTTAAGGTACTATATATTTTGAATTTTGAAGCACATAGTAACTCATCTAAGAGTCAAAACAGATAAAAAAGGAAAAGACAGTTGAAAATGACCATATTTATAACGATCTTTTCAACTGTCATCAAACCTAGAAACGATGATGAAGCAAAATTTTCAAGACATTTCTTCTCCAAACATAGCTCTGGGAATTCTCAAGGATCTCTGTCTAACTCAGAATGTACATCAGAAAAATCAGTAATTTCATTTTCAATTTATTTTTCCGGTAAAGAAAAACGAAGACAATGTTTTTCTTAAAACACTTTTTTTAAATATTTTCTGAAATTATTTATCATTAATTAAAATGTATCAGAAATAAGAAACAAATATGTACTGTCTTATTTCTTATTTAATATTTTCTATTCTTGATTTTATAATTTGTATAAATCTTAGTTATAACAGAGAATATATCAGAAATAATAAGAAAATTAAAATTCCTCTATAGGAAAAATAAAAGAAACTTGACTTGGTCCAGTGTCATGTTTCCAATTAATATTCTTTTAAAATCTATACTTTAGAATAAAAGTTGTATATTATATTATAAAATTTATTCAAAGACTATGATCTTAAAAGAGAAATCATTAGTATTAGACAGAACGTTGGTGTCCTTTTTATTTTAACTGTGTCGGGTATAAATTTATTTAGTTAATAAACAATAGATAATAATATTTTCTTTTGAAGCATATACAAAATAAGAATGCATTTCGAAGTGGATGTTCTACGATAAAAAATCAGGTGAGCTATATCATAATCAAATCTATTATTACCCTTAATAACTAAAAGGGATTCTGTCACAATTATGAAGTGAATTCTTAGTACGAGAGGAAATACTCAATTCAATTAGTAAATAAATTTTAATTTTAACTCAATCTTAGAAATTTTAATTCTAATTTAATCTTAGAAAATTGGCTGTAAACTTTATATTACTTATATATTTTTTATATATTTTAAATTGATCTTAGTTTTTAATAAACATGCGACTTTGAACTGAAAAAATTAACAATCGAAATTTAGTTTCCAATAAATTTTATATCTAATTTTAGAAAAGATAAATATTATCTAAAATTATATAAAATTGATAAATAAAAAGATAATAATGTAAATTAAAATAAATATTAAATAAAGTTATTATACAAAAAATATAGTTAGCCTAATTTTGTATATTTATACCTATATAGAAAAAGATACTTCTTGTACACAATTTTTATTTCCACTTTACTCTTTTATAATATAATTATTAATTGATTTTTAAAAAAATATTATTATTAATTGATCTTTTAGAAATAACGACTATTTTATAAAACTGACACATGTTTCCTTTTTTTTTCTTTATTATATTGTTCTCCATTTTTTTATTATATTTGTAATATCCACAGTTACTTTTTATTATTTTCATTATTTTTCTCTTATATATTTAATTAATCAATTTACATATATAATTAAAATATAATGTAATACAAATATTCAAAAATATTATTAACTTATAATATAATTTGTTAACTGATTTTTGAGAAGTAATTTTGTCAGACTTCGAAAATATGCATCAAAAACTCACCTGTCTAATCTCATTAAATGCACCCCAAACCCTGCTCAGATGCATTAAAAACGCACTCAAACTCTGATGCACTAACGCCAGGTGTCAAAAGTGGAAGATTCGAAAATCAGTAGTGAAAGATTCGAAAATCAGTAGTGGAGGACAGGTGTCTACCAGGGAGCGCACGTCCGGTTGGACGTGGGGCAGACAAAAATGATTTTCTGAAAACCTTGCCCACTCTCTTCTGCATGCACCTTCTCCTCTCCAAACTCTGACTTTCCATTTCTCCTTCTTCTCTCTAGCAAACTCCCCCTTCTCTCTAATGTAACTCATCCTTCTCTTCTCCGATCCCATTTCAGAAACCGTAGAAGCGTTCCCGGCGTCATAAGCTCCATTTTGAACCAATCATCTCCGAGTTCTGAAACTGGTAAGTTTCTCCCCTTAGTCGTTCGTTCTTGTGTTACATGCAAACCACGTTTTGGTTTCATGCGAGGGTGTAGTCTAAGTTATCTTGGTTTCTGCTGTTTGGTTAGTTTGAAGAGTTAAGTGATCGTGAGGGTAGAAGTTGTAGTTGGACGAACCAAAAAAACCCACTTTTAGATCGTTCAATCACGTATCCAGGTAAGGGAAGCTTATTTAATTTAACTGGTATGATGTTGTGTTGTATGAGCGTTCGTTATTTGACTGCATGAGTATAATGCATGATGTTTGTTGTGATTGAATTGCATGAACGTTCGTTGTTTTACTGAGTGGAAATGAAATATGGCTGAGTTATGTATGATGTATGAAATATATGAAATTTTGATGATATGGATTGTATGAGGAATATGAAATGTACCATAACATGAACAGATGGAATTATGAAGATGTATGATGAGAAAAGAACTGGAATGTAAATGGATCTGAAAATGAACTTTCCCCATGATAATATACGTTCGTTACTGAACGGTCATCGACCATTAGGTTTTCCCTTGTAACATAGTTGAAATACTGATTCTTTCATTTGGATAGAATCCTAGTTAAGGACGAGCGTTCTCTTATTATAATACTATACTTGAGCGTTCGGCTAAGCACAGTTGTATCTGGGTGTCCTTTGATAAACTCCATTCTTTTATATATATATATGTAATAGTATATATTTTCTGCGTTCGTAACCACTACTTCGACAGTCTCTTAGTATATTTATCAAGTTTGTATTTATAAGTTAAATGGTGCTCGGTCTCACACCTAGCGCTCGTACTGAGTAGTGCTCGGTCTCACACCTAGCGCTCGTACTGAGTAGTGCTCGGTCTCACACCTAGCGCTCGTACTGAGTAGTGCTCGG